TTGACTCTCCTCCTCCCTCTCCCCGAGACCTCCTTCTCTTCTAGTCCCACCTATCTTGCTTTCCTATTGGCCAACAGTGCTTTATTCATTAACCAATAAGAGTAACATATTTACAGAATGACAACTCCCACCATCTCCTCTTTTCTGTCTAAAATATAAAGAAGGGTTTTAACTATAACATAGTAAAATATATAACAATTATCAAATAAGAACACAGTTAACAATATTTAGTCCATTAACATTTAGCAAGATTCAAAGAAAATATTTTATCATCTATCCTATCTTTGTGAGTCTAAAGCCCTATATGTAACTTATCTTTAATCCTAACTAAGGAAAATTATAACCATAACTATCCATCTTCAACTCCATCAAAGACCATAGAAGGATAATATATAAACTCTAGAAATGACAGAGACAACTCACTGCCTGGTTAGTCACCAGAAGTTCTTTTGTAATGTTCCATCTTCAGCCTATAGGCCAAAGTGTGTCTGGGAGACTCCTCAGCAAAGCAGGAAACTTTAAACTGTCCACTTTAAACTTTAAACTGTATTGGAAGTTTGTCAGTCACTTTTCTCTGTGTCCTGCATACTGTCTGGCAGACTCTTCCATGAAGCAGGAACCCTGTAGCAATGTCCATCTTGTATCAGCAGTCACTTTCCTGTGGGTCCTGCATTTCCAGCATAAAGTCAAACAGTCCAGATAAGAACAGTATCTTGCCCAAGTGGCTAGTTTTGCCATAGCGGGAGTAAACTCCATAATGAGTTTCTTCGATGTCCATCTTCCTTTCTGACACAGGTGGTGTTGCCAGGAGCAGTTATGTCTCACTATCAAGAAAAACCCTAAACCATTTGAAATGCCATATTCTGTAGGTCTTTGAAAGGTTTGAAGAATGCCTATCCATCTTAAATATGTCTCTATACATCTAGAAATCCTAACTAACTTAAGTATAAGTGTTGACTATTATAGGTAACTATCTAAAATCTGCACTAAATTATATATTTTTAAATGAGCTATATAAACACAATACCTCAACAAAAGGAGAAATATATATATCACAAAATTGACCTTAAATTTGTATCAATAAATGAAAATCTATTCTAAAACAAAGTATTTATTTCTAGACCATAATCCTTTTTACCTTTAAAGAGATTGATTGTGGTCATTAACCACTTGTAACTAACCCCATTTAAGTGAAAATAAACATTTATAGACAATATTTGGGAATTTGAGCGTCGGTTTTCCAAAACTGCTTCATGCTGATAGGGGGTACTGTCATGGGGATCCTAAGAAGATGCAGAAATCCTGGCTGTAGTAGTCTGCAAGGCTGCCTTGCCCCAACTGTTTTGAATGTTGGATCACCTGGTACACTGTTTCAGGAGGTCTGGCCTGATCAAAAACCATGTTAGTCTGGAAGGAATCCATAGCTTTTTTTTTTCTGTTGAAAAAAAAAAAAATAGAAATCCTTTTCCCCAGTAACCTATCCTTGTACTTAAAATTTGAAGTCAAAGCATTTTTAAAATATATAAATTGGAATAATTCAGTAGCATTTCTTTTAACAATTGTTGCTATTTCCTTAGCAGTTAAACAATACAAAGACAACACAATACCATACCAAAATCTCTGTGATTCCCATCTTTACGTGGCCTTTTTATTACTTTATTCCTTTTACTTTTATTTTTTCATGTTTTGAGACTTTGCATGGAATTTATTCTGTACACCAGGTGTACTTTGAAATCACAGAGATCCGCTTGCCTCTGCCTCCCGAGTGTTGGAATTAAAGGTGTGTGCCACCAATGTCCTAGCTACTTTCTTTCTGTTTTTTTAAAACCAGCTGTTCATATACACCATTGAATTGTTAGCATCACTTCTTAAAAGCTGTGCAGTTTGTTTTTTGTTTTTTGGTTTTTTTTTTTGTTTTTTGTTTTTTTTGCTGCTTATGATGAGTCAGGAAACCTCCCTTAAAGGAGCCGCATAATCTTTGGTTGTCTCTAGCAAAACAGAGCCCAACCGAGAAAAATGATGCTACCGAGAAGCCTTGCTTCTCTCTGTTCTTTTGTTTCTAAAACCCCTCTTTAAGCTTTTATCAAGTTTTAAGTGAAAGTTCTCAGGTCCACATTGGGCACCATTTTGTTATGAGCATATTTTCCCACCAGCCTGGGCCCAGTTGCTGTGCCAGCCCCAAATAACACACAGAGACTATGTATTAGATATAATGCTAGTGACCAGTTACTAGTTTCTTATCAACTAGCTCTGTCTTAAATATTAACCCATTTCTATTAATCTAAGTATTTCCACGTGGTCTCATCTTACTGGAGAGAGGATCGGGAGTCCTGCTCTCTTGGTCCTACATGTTGATTTTCCTCCCTACTACTTCCCGAATCCTCCTTGTCTCTTAGTCCTGCCTATCTTGCTTTCCTATTGGCCAACAGTGCTTTATTCATTAACCAATATGAGAGACATATTTACAGAATGGCATCTCCCATCAGGCCTCACCTGGTACTTGCCACTCACCTTGCATCAGTAAGCAGAGACAAGTCACAGGTCTTGGCAGCAGGGAGTGCAGATGATGCCCAGTAAGAGCCTTATGGATGAGGATATGGCATTGACACCTCTTTTCTCCAGCCATATATATCCAGCGCCTCCTTCATCTGGCCTCATCTCCCTCACCCACTCTATCCCACTTGCATTAATGCCTCTTGCCAAATGCTCACTTCACGGTCTTTGCGCTTGCGGTGTCCTCTGCTTGCAATGCTGTCTCGTCTCACCCAGATAGCCACATGGCTCACTCTCTCACCCCCCATACACTTCTGTTCCAGTGTCCCCTCCTCAGAGAAGCTCTCCCTGACTGCTTTATCCCAGACAGCTCCTGCATTACCCCCTCTCCTCTTCGCATTGGTGGGGCACCTGACAAGACTTACCTGCACTCGATACAGGGTCCATTTGCTTGCTTCCCTGTTGATTGTCCACTCCCTCCCCCAGCCCGAAGACAGGCACCACACCTGGCTTTGCTCATAGTAAATTGGTGAATCTCTGAGCCTGGGAAATTGCTACATTTTTATGAAATGAATAGTGAGGAAGTATCAGTGATGTCCCAGAGTCCACAATCTGTTCATCTTGATTCTTGGAAATGATTGTGACCTCCTTTCCAATGTCCAATGACCAGACAGATGTAGCCTCTGGGGGACAATCAGGGCCAAGAAACTGTTAACATGGGGTCTACCCTAAGCCTCTCCATGCAAGCCCACCTGGCAGGGGTCAGATGTGTCAGCCTGTCCAGCCATCTTTGGCCCTAAGGTGGACCCTAAAGGCTAGGGTCCAGGCCCCTGGGATTCTTGGAAAGGCTCATTTCTCCTCTGGCAAATATCCCTGCTTCCTTCCCGGGGCTTGTGCCTGCATTTCTGAACCAGAAGGTGTTTACACAAAACATCCTGGGTTTGGCGACAAATTCACCCTCCATGAGGAATCCTTAATGAAGCTTCCTCCTTCCCCACTCCAGGCAGCTGTAGAGTCAACTGGCTCCGTCTGTGGGAAATTAAGGCAGCCCAAAGCCAGACAAAGCGGAGGTGCTTCTGGGCTTCATGAGCCACATTTTGAGAATGTCGGAAGGCATTCTCAAATATGTTTCTGACCTGCCCTTCTCCCAGCTTCATCCTGCAGCTATAAAACTAAATAGTAATGATCCCATCTATATGAAAGGGGCCATGAAATTCAAGTGAGGTGGAGTATTAAAGGCCTAAATTGCCAGGAGTCAATAAGGGAGACTAAAAACTGAACTTCAGAGTTGGGCCTTAGGACTGGGGAGGTCGTTCAGTAAGTGTGCACTCTGAAAGAATAAGGACCTGGGTTCGAATCCCAAGCACTCACATAAATAAAAATCCAGACACATTGTGTGGGACTGTTACCTCAGCAATGGGTAGATACAGAGAGCTCACTGGCTAGCCAGCCTAGCCCAAAAGTGAACTTCTGGTTCAGTGAGAGGCCCCATTTCAAGACAGGAAGATGGTTGACTGACAGGAAGACACCTGACATCCTACTCTGGCCTCTGCATGTGTTTGCATGGACACATGTACCCCTATGTTTACATGCATGCTCCCTCACGCTTACATGCATGCACCACACAGCACATGCACCCACACTAAGTAAAACGAGAAGGGATACAGCTCAGTGGTAGAGCTGAGTGTGTGAGAGGCACTGGGTTAACTCCAGTTATACACACAGATAAGCAAAAGGGCTTTGGTGAGGCCAAAACTTCCAGACCTCACCTCTGAGCTTTGCAACTGTACAATAAAAGGTTGGGGGACCCCTCAGGTTCTGCTGAGCAGCCATCCTCCTCCCTCCTCTGGGAAGTCTTGGATCCTAATTCACTCCAGCTCTTACTGACACTTCACTGCTCACTTTGGACAATTTCCAGCTCCTTCTGTGGGTCTCGGCTTGCTACTGCGGACACTGAATTCAACAAATGCAGCGGCCAGGTGAAAATTAAAATGATTCATCCTCCGGAGAGTGGGGGGAATTTTTACCACCCATTATTTACAAACTAGAAGCTGAAAGTAACACCGGTTAAATATGTCTGTCTGCCACACTCGGTTTCTCGGAGTTGTTAAACAGGATTTAGGATTTCTGTGTCTCCAAAGCTCTTATCTCTGCCATCCATAATATATGTAACTACTTTTCCACCGGTGTTCGTTGTTTCCCACTAGGATGACGTTTCTAGAGATTTTACTCACTGCTATATTCTCCACACCCAACCTGACACACGGTGGATGTTAAAATACCCTTTGAAGGAGAGGAAAGAGGCAGGTCACTGTGCTGCTCCCTCAGAGACTGAAGGGGGCGCTCCTGCCCCGCTCCCAGTGCTAGACCCGCCCCTCTGGCGCCCCGCTGACGCGCATGCGCCACCCCTCTAAGGCCCTGGGTTTTTTTTTTTTCCACTGCGCAGGCGTGCCGGAAGTCCTCAGAGCGGCGCCTGCGCGGATGGAGCAGATGTGGCGTTGAAGCCCTGTGAAAGCTCTTGAGAGCGGTGTAACGCCATGCTGTCCCCCGAAGCGGAGCGGGTGCTGCGGTACCTGGTCGAAGTGGAGGAGCTGGCCGAGGCGGTACTATCGGACAAGCGCCAGGTGAGAGACGCCGCGGCGGCTAGCTCAGTACGCAAGCGCGCGGGACTCTGCGCTGGGCAGTAGCCTTCCAAAACCCTGCCCCTGCGGGTCCCCCGGATCCTTACCCTCTGCATGCGGCTTCCCCGACACCGGTTTCCTAACGCAGTCCCGACCCCCATCGTGAATCAGGTTGCTGAGACCCCAGCTGTATTTGGCTGGACGGTAGGGTGACGTGCAGCGGGGCGGGGGAAGGTTAGAGGGCCTCGTAGACCCGAAAGGGGAGCTTGGCTCTGGATCTATGGTAAGTAGTGGGTCTCCAAAGGGAGTTCGTGCTGAGAATGTTATCATTGGATTTTTGATTGATTGGTTGGTTGATAGGTTGGTTTAGACTCTAAACTATAGAGAGACTCGTGTCTTGGGGCTGGCCTCGAACTCACTCGTGTAGTCTCGGATAGCCTTGAACTATCCGCCCTTGTAAGCTTCCTGGGTTCTGGGATTATAGGCATGCATGCACGGTACGGGATTTAGGTTTTAAAAGTCTTCTCTGGCTGCTAACTAGCGTGCAAAAAATCATTTAGACCAGTGGTCCTCAATCTTCTTAATGCTCCAACCCTTTAGTACAGTTCCTCTTGTTATGGTGACCCCCCTCACCATAAAATCATTTTAGTTGATACTTCATAGTTGTAATTTTTTGAGGGGGGCCATTGTTTTTTGAGACAGGGTTTCTCTGTGTAGCGTTGTAGACCAGGCTGGCCTAGAACTCAAGAGATCTGCCTGCCTCTGCCTCCCAATTGCTGGGATTAAATGTGTGTGCCACCACCGCCTGGCACCATAGCTGTAATTTTTATGTTGTTATGAATTGTAATGTTTTGCAATGGTCTTAGTGACCCTAAGGGTCAAGACCCCACAGATTGAGAACCACATATTTGGTTATCCAGATGATCTGGATTTGGACCAGACAGTCCTGATGGAGAAGTAATGGGGTGAGAAACACACTTTGGAAATGGTCTCCAAACGCTGTCATAATTACTCCTTATGGTCTATAGTGAGAAGGCCCAGTGGTTCACAAGCAGCAGGATTCCTGTGTACTCCGGTCCCAGAGTCACTGCCTGAGTAGCTGTCATAGTGGTGTACATCCATGTCTGGTGAGACTATCAGATTTTCCTACAATGGCCTGTCAATAATAATTGTCCTGGAGACACTAAACTCACTGATGACCCTGGTACATGTTCAGGTTTGAATGGACGATATAAATGCTTCCTAATTGGTAAACTTTTTCCTAGCACCTGCTCTGGAGGAAGGATGCTCCTGTACAAGCCGAGGAGCTGGGAACTGAGTGGGGGAAGAAATACATTCCCATTTCAGTCCATCCATGTTAGGCAAGACATTGGGAGCTAGCCAGGAAGGACACCTTGTCTCTTCAGGTTGGGGCAGGAGGCAGCTGGATTTCTATCTGCTTCTGTTTTCAGATTGTGGACCTGGACACCAAGAGGAATCAGAACCGAGAGGGCCTGAGGGCCCTACAGAAGGATCTGAGCATCTCTGGTAAGTTGTAACATCCTCACTGAAGCCTTGGAAACGGATGCAGTTGTCTTCTGAAAGCCTTTGTTGTCCCTAATAGAGAGCAGGCAGGAGACTGGGACTGTGTGACTCAGCCTCACAGGAAACTAAAACAGCTTGTGGAGAAGAAGAGGCAAACGTTGCAGGTCAGACATATGCTGTGACTCAAGATTTGAGCTGCTCACTTCAGTGACAGGCCATTAGCTTATCACTCATCAATGGCAGATACTGAGAGTGCTCGCAGCACATAAAAGCAATAGTAGTTCTGCCCTTATGTTCCACATGAGGAAAAGCAGCATAAACACATAACTGAAAATTGTGGAAAGCTGAAGATGGAGTTGGCCGTGAGTGGATGTTGAGTCTGTCGAGGAGGGAGGAGATGAGGCCAGGTGGCTGTGGCTGTGGCAGTGTGAGCAAGTGGGGGACATGAAAGGCCGTAATGATCTGTAAGTTCTGTAAGGATGGGCAACATTCAGGCCATAATGAAGGGTACTGACATGCATTCCACTGGCTGCTTATTTCACCAGAGTAACACCCAGAGTTGTCCTGCAGGACCCGCATGACCCAGCCCCACACAAACTCCACCATGTTAGCCCCCACTCTCTCAGCCACTCATTGACTCACTGGTCTCTTGGTTGCTCTGACAGCAAAGCACGGCCAGTTCTGGCCGTTGCCATTCCTCTGCCTAGCTCTGTCTTCCCAGGTGTCTAAGGAGATGTCCTCCCTTTCCTCAGTTCTTTGCCTGGATGTCACATCTGCAAAGAGCCCTTGTGCCTCTCTGATGCTTCCCATCACTTAGCAGTATGAGGGAGAACAGCTCATTTATTCCCCATCTTTTGCTCTGATGTGACTTCCACAAGGGCAGGAATTGTCTTGTTGGATTTTGTTTTAGCATCCAAACAATGCCTGCCAGATAGCTGGTGCTTCAAAAAGAAGAAATAAAACATGTTGAAGAAATGTCTGTTTGCTATTTCAGAAGATGTGATGGTTTGCTTTGGGAACATGTTCATCAAAATGCCTCACCCTAAGACAAAGGAAATGATCCAGAAAGGTAAGGTGTCCTGGGGATGGTCAAGGGCGTGGTCACCCTCCCCACCAGTCATTGTCCAGGACTGAGAGTCACGCTTTGCCAGTTTGAGAGGCAGCTGTGCTGTAGAGTCGAAGTGGTTTTGGTTCTTGCTCTGCCTTCTTCATCTGTGAATGGAGCATCTACACAGCACAGTTGTGAAGCTAAGATAAACCAGAATGGCTAGCATTATTCTTGTTTACTAAGGGAAAGTCAGTTGGGTTACAAATATTTGACAAATTGAGCTTAAAATACTGAATACTGTCCATTCTCTTTTCCTCATTAAAAAATTGTCCAGAAGCAGGGAAGAAAACCAACAATGATTTTTTTCCCCCCTAGAGTACTGTTTAGTTGGCTCAGCAGGTACATGTACCTGATGATGACCTAAGTTCAGTCCTCAGGACCCACACATGATAGAAGGAGGAACCAACTCAACTTGGCCTCTGTGCTCCAGCCATACAGATGCATTCACACAAAATAAAGTCAAGAACAACAAAAGCAGTTTCCCTGATGCTCAGCAGTGGTCCCACAGTATAGGCCCTTGGTCATTGAGTATCACTGTACTGCTATAGGCTTTATATCTATATAGCAGGCTGGGGAAAGGCAAAGGGCTTTGTTTTCTGGTTGAAAATAAGGTCATTTGCCAAAATGTTATTGGTCAAGGCCAACCATACCTGTAAAGGGGCCTGGATACATGAGCTTTTGCATGAGCCTCTGTGTGTGTGTGGGTGTGTGGGTGTGTGTGTGGGTGTGTGTGTTACATTAGGTGTGTGCATACGGAGGTCAGAACAGAATGTCTTCCTTTATCATTTGTAAAGAGTAGGTTTTTCCTCCCGCCTCTGGTCTTGTCCACCGCCACGCCAGCCCCAGTTAACACACCAAGACTCTGTATTTGATATAATGCTTTTGGCCAGGTACTAGTTTCTTATCGGCTAGCTCTGTCTTAATTATTAACCCATTTCTGTTAATCTAAATATTTCCACGTGGTTTTATCTTACCGGAGAGAGAGGCCACCAGCGTTCTGCTCTCTCCATCTTCCATCTTGACTCCTCCCCCCTACTTCCTCTTTCCTCCTTGTCTCCTAGTCCCTCCTCTCTTGCTTTCCTATTGGCCCACAGTGCTTTATTCATTAATCAGTATGAGAAACATATTTACAGAATGACATCTCCCATCAGTCATTTTCTACCTTACTGCCTTCAAGCAGGGTCTGCCAATCTCTTTGGCTAGGCCATTTGGCCAGCAAGCTCTCTGGGTCTGCCTGTCTCCGTCCTCTAGTGCTGGGTTACAAGCACATTCAGCCATGTCAGCCAGCTTAGCCAAAGAGGTTGGTAGACTCTACTTCAAGGCAGTAAGGTGGAAAACGATACTGTGCATAGGTAATGGGCCAGAGACTACGCAGCTGAAATCTCAGTGGTCCTTCTGACCCACAAGTGTTGTCTAATCTCTTGTCTGTGGAGGTTCTAGGAAGTGATCAGGCTTCCCCCAACTCAATATAGGCTGAACAAGTTCATAGGACACTTCCTTATTTACAGTGAGAAACAAAACCATTACCAACACCATGAAGCATGGCTAGTCAGGGCTTTTCCTCTTTGGGAAATGAGTCTAGGCAGTGAACTTATTGAGTAGAATGTCCCTCCCAGCAGTTGATTGATGATGCTTTGATAGGTTCCTATGTTGTTATACTACCATTTCTCAGGTGCAAACGATGGTGATGGTAGACTGGTTTTTCCTATCCACCACAGCTGACCATATCCAGGTTATGCTGGAGCAGTAGACTCTCCCCTTGGCTACTTTAGGTCACATTTTATCAGGACCTTGATGGAACTTGGGTTTGTAAAGTTTCTTGGCCACCAGCCAGCCAGCCACCTAGCATACTGTGAGTTAAGTATGAGTGCTACTTACTCTGGTGTTAATCCTTTTTCAGCCAGTCTTTGAGGTCACCTTTTCCTTCCTGTGTGCTACAAGCCTTGGCTCTCAGGGGTGTTAGGTGGAGACTGGGGTCCCTCTCTGCAATATAACCTTGTCCTCTCTGCCTACTGCACTTTTTCAGATCAGGAGCACCTGGATAAAGAAATAGAAAGACTCCGCAATCAACTTAAAGTGAAAGTTAACCGCCTCTTTGAAGCCCAAGGTATTGGCCTGGCAGGCTGGGAGCAGGGTGGGAGGAAACCATTGAAAGAATGTTAGCGAGCAGGTGTGGAAAGCCACGCAGGTGGGCAGTGGGATAAGCAGTGGTTGTCTGTAGCTGCTCAGAGGTAGGACACGGAGTCTTGTGAGGCTTATTTTTGTCACAGGTCCTTTTCCAGGCACCAGGAGCTGCCCAGGGTGATCTTTTTTACATGGTGTGGGTACCAGGGTAGCTAGGACAGGAGAAACCCAGAAGACTTTAGTCACAGGTCAGATCTTAAATAGGGGTAAACTTAAGCACATCCGATCGCAGGTCTGATCAGAATCTGCAGATCTGTATGCAACAGTTAACGACTTTGGTAGTTCTTGGCCAGGGGCAGTGTTGACATATATCAGCCTGTGCACTGCAGAATCCAAGGCCCAGCCCTGCACCTCTCAGGCCCAGTTGGCAATGTTAATGCAGTGTTAGCTACTTTCCTGGGCCTGGCTCCAGAGTCAGCAGTAGGTTGGACAGCAGGGGGCCCAATTTGATCATAACTACCTTCTTCTTGCAGGAAAACCGGAGCTGAAGGGTTTTAACCTGAACCCCCTCAACCAGGATGAGCTTAAAGCCCTCAAGGTCATCCTGAAAGGATGAGGCTCAAACAGCAGGTGAGGGACCTGTGAGCAGGTCCCCGCTCCCTCAGCCTTAAGACCTGCAAGGACAGGATTGTCTCTTTAAGGGGACAGGCTCAGGAATGTGGCTTCTGTACCAAATCTTTTTTTTTTTTTCTGTTGTGCTTGGCTGCTTTGTGACGAGAGAGAACCCTTAGCCTGTTCTGTGTGCTTGGCCTGGCTGCCAGAGCTTGGTGGACACAAGACCTATTGACAGACCCTGGCAGCCATCTGTAGGTGTGTGGGGGGTGGGAGAATGACTGTGGCCGACACTTCTCAACAGTAGCCTGCTGTTTAGATGGGCCTGGCCAGCAATGGAGAGAGGGCGGACTGGGAGCTTCATTCTAGCTTTCTGCATGGTGAGGCATTTCTAGGCAATGTGTGTGACACAGTTTGCTTCTGTGTGAAGCAGACAGACCCTTAGTGCCTCACACCAGCTGCAGGGTAGACACATTTCCGCAGAGCCCCCAGTCCTGTCTGTCTTCCTGCTGGCTTTCCGTAGTAGGTGCTGTCAATCGCCCTCTGGTTGCCCTTGAGATGAGAGGCCTTACAGAGGATTGGCCCAGGGCAGCCAAGCAGTATCCTTCCTAAGGTGACTCAACATGGAACATACTCCACGACCTCTGACAGCAGGGATAGGCTGGCCAGCCTGACTTCATAGTGTGAGTGTGCTGTGAGATCTAAACTGGCCTCTGTTCCCTGAGGTTCAATAAACATTAACTGAACAAACCACAGCTCTGAGTTGTCACCTCATTCAGTTCTTCACCAAGGCCCAACCCTTTTTATTAGAGTGCTACTTAAGAAAGGAGCCTTAAAATGCGTAGCATCAAGAGTAGACAGGTAGAGACCACTCTCTCTGAACTTTGATCCATAGTTACATCAGAAATAAGCTGGCATAACTAGATCCCAAGTTTCTTCCAAGATGAAAGAAAACCAAGTTCAGTTTCCAGTTCCACATGGTGGCTTATAATCATCCCAAACTCCAGTTCTAGAGGATTTGATGCTTCTTCTAACAGGCACACAAAGTACATGTACACATATATGTACATACAAGCAAAACACTCAAAAACCATTTTTTAAAAATTAACTAGTCAGGTGTGGTGGTATATGCCTTTAATTCCAGTACTCAGGAGGCAGAGGCAGATGGATCTCTGAGTTCCAGGGTAGCCAAAGCTATGCAGAGAGACCCTGCCTCAATAAATAAATAAATAAATAAATAAATAAATAAATAGGGGAACTAAAAATTAGAATTAAGCCAATATGTTAAATATTGCTGATGACTTCAGAGAATATTTAAAAACCTAAGAAAAAACACCTAATATAAGGCAGATTAAGCCCATACTTGTGGTTGTTTGGTTTGTTTTTGTTCTTACAGACACTCCTGTGATAGACACTCCTGTGATAGACCTAGACAAGCTGCAAGTCTGTGCAATGGGGTCTAGTTAGAAGAACACAGTTTCAGAGGCAGGCACTGGCTTAGCCCAGGCCGAGGGAGGTTCTTGAATCATGAAATGGGTTGAGCAAAGTAAGTGCTGAGCAGTGTGTGATCTACTGCCTATAGATGCTATGTGGCCCCCTCAGGACAAACTATAGGGCCAAAGGGAGGATATTAGTATACACCCTGTGATTCATGAGCTTCGAGCCATATGAATAAATCAAACAGCAGAATTCACTTTGATGGCAGCTGCCTAGTAGGTCTACCTGGCATACAATTTCTGCCCTGGAATACTGCTTCTGCCTGCCTGCCTGCCAGGGTGGGTGCTAGGCCAAAGAGCCCATCAGTTCTGTATTCAGGAAGTGAGAACCTAGAGTCCATGCCCAGGGATTGTGGGCTTGGGAAACCCATGGGCTCTGGAAGCAGAAAGTCCAGGGTGAGTCAGCTCTCAGTCCTCTGTGTGTGTGTGTGTGTGTGTGTGTGTGTGTGTCTACCCCACACCCACCCCACCCCCTCAGCCAAGGCCAGTTGGTTCACTTCATGCTTTGCTGGATGTTTCTTTCCCAGGCTAGGCTGTCCTTTGGGCTTACTTTAGGCATTCGGTTTGAATTTGTAGGCAAAAACTGCCCAGAAGGTAGGTAGAGCTACCTGGCCCCCTGGAGGCCCCTTCTCAGTGGAGCATGGTGCCTCCCAGCTCAGGCTTACTACCACCTCCTAGACCAGGAGGAGGCTTCTGAGCTGAATGCAGTCATGGCACATGACTCCTCATGTGATCATGCCTGTCACCTGTAGCCTCACTTTCTGATTTTAAAACCCAGCCCCAGATGAGAGGTGGGTTTTCCCAGAGCCCCTGGCTAGGCAGTGTCGCCTTCCCAGGTCCCACCTTCATCTGAGACACTGGAGGCTCCAGTTCTGTGGTTTTCACGTGGCCCAGTCTGTGGGTCCATATGAATCAGGGCATTGCAGAGGATGGTATGTCTAAGGCTTGTACACTCCCAGGCTTCCAGTAGACAATCTAAAATCATAGTTTGTAAGCATAACTTAAAGACAAGTTTCCTAGCTCAAGGGATCCTTCACCATGACCAGAGACATCAAAATGGCTGTGGCATCCTTAACCAGGCCCAGTGCTGAGTGACTCAAAGCCTGTGCTTTATTGACATGTTCTCAGAGTGGAAGAGCTTGCTGCTTGGCCCCTTTGGGCCCAGTCGCCAATCTGTCAAGGATAAGCCCACCCAGTCCCAAGGATTGGCTGTTGGTTCAAAGATGCAGGGTGGGGGTGGGGCTGGAGTGGGGAGTATAGGGTGTTTGGTCCAAGTAGGAAGCAGAGGCTCCCTAGCCGGTAATATAGCTGTAAGGCTGTGGGGAGGTGGAGGGTGCACTGCTGGAATCCTGCTGTGAGAGGCCAGGGTGGCACCTGCCAGGGCCTCATTCCTGGCTGAGGTCAGCCAGGAGCTTTCTTCTGCACTTGAAGGGATCGGAACAACTGCCTCAACTGCTCCTTCCGGTCATTGATGCAGCCTAGAAAGAACATGAGGTGTTGGTACAGGGAGCAGGCAGCAGGAATTGTGTGGACATAAGTGGCCCTCAGCTCACCTTTCCCAGAATGACACCACCTGAGTTCAATGGTCAGCAAAGGCTTTTTAAGCTGACTGGGGGTTCAGCTGCTGCTTCAGACACTGACTCCAGATGGCTTGTTAAGTCCTCACAGGAATAGTGTGTAGCCAGGAAACTCAAGAGAGGTTGTCATTTACCCCAAGTTGCATGAGTAGCAGAACTGGGAGTTGATTCTAGGCTATGTGGTGCCAGAGTCACATTCAACTGCTTCTCCAGACTACAGTGCCCTCGTCTTTGCTTGATGAAAACACAAAAGCCAGCAGTGCCTGAAGCTAACTTACATCTCTTACTCAGCACATCCTGGAGGTGTGTCCCAGGCAGTCCCTGCCTCTCCCCACACACTCACCAGGCATCCTGTTCCCTGCTTGATCTCAGAGCTGGTTCTGAAGGCAATACCAGTCTTTAATCTTAGCCAGGCACACTTGTAATACTCACAAATGCTTGAATGACCTGACACACCATGGCCGCAAGAATTGACCTGGCGATGCCTGCTTCCTACATAGTAACTCCAATCCCTCCCTTCCCTCCAAGGCTGTCCCAGCTGTCAAGGCTACAGCACACAACCTGTGCATCCTTGTCATTTTCCAAAGTGATTCCAGGGAACCTGCTTTAATGTTTTTGGCTCGCTCATGCCAAGTCTTCAGGTTCAGTGCAAACCCTTTCTTGGGAGTTCTAGCCTCGTCCCTGGATTTTTGTTTGTTTGTTGTCTATTTATTTATCTTTGGTAACCTTTTCACCTAATGTCACATTCCTAACTTGTCCTCAACCATCAGCCTGTTCTTTCTCTGCCTGCTCCCCAAACAGTTCCTCCTTTTTACCACCAAACACTCAGCTAAAAATCTGAAAGTAATTCTAGAGACTTCTACAGATATTGTTCTCTGAGTGCCTGCAAAAAATCAACCATATCTTCATTTCCATTAAGTGTGTGCATTGTTGAAGTGCAGTGTCTGCTGTTGGAGCAACCATTTGCAACCAGAAGACAACCTGAGCGTTCAGCCAAACTGCTGAGTGTGGCAAGAAAGGGGAGAAAGGGGTCACCCAGGCATGGCAAAACCATTGTGTCAGTTCCTACGCCATACCTAACACTTCTGTGACCTGAGACATCTCTCCCATGCCTCCCCTCACCCCTCCCCACCTCTAGGGAATATTAGGCAAGCATTCTACCATTTTTCTATAGCCCCTCTTTGGCACAATTTTCACTAAGTTAGTTAGACTAGCCTTGAACCCATTCAGTAGTGCAGGCAGGCCATGACGTCTGATCCTACCTCATCCTTCCTAGTGGCTGGGTTTACAAGTATGTGGCACTAGGTCTGGCTAGGTCAGCCCCTTTCTACTTAACTATTAGTTGGATTTTGTTGTGTGCAGCCAAGCCCAGTCCTAAATCATACTAAACTCTTTAAAAGATATAAAATTTCCCATCATAAAAGAAATAGGAATTCAGAGCGCAAGAGCTAAAGGCAGGTGGATCCCTGAGTTTAGAGTTAGCCAGGTCTACATAGTAAGTTCCAGACCATCTAGAGCCACAAAATGAGACCCTGTCACAAAACAAAACAAAATTTTTAAAAAGGAGCCATAAAACAAAATTTAGAACAACAACTCCAGAAAATGTTTACTGTACATTTGGTGGAGCCAGGTGGTATGGGCAGTATCTTCAGCCATCAATGTCATGTCTTTACAAATGTGGAAAATTACAGGCAACCCAGAGAAAAACATACAGTCTGGGCATAGCTGGACACACATTTAACCCCAGTGCTTTGACGGAAGAGTTGGGAATTTCTGTGAGTTTGAGGCCAAACTGATCTATATATTGAGTTCTAGGCCAGCCAAAGCTGCATAGAGAGACTTTGTCTCAAAAAAAAAAAAAAAAAAAAAAAAGAAAGAAAAAGAAAAGAAAAGAAAGAAAGAAAGAAAAAAAAAAGAAACAGAGGGGCCTGGCATGTTGGCACATACCTACAACCCCCAGGACTTTATAGGCTAAGGCAGGAGGATTAGAAAGGACTTCAAGACCAGCATTAGCTCCATAGTGAATTCAAGGCCAGCTTGGCCTATGTGT